ATGTGTTTAGTATTTATTAAGCAAATGTAATGAAATCTGTTATACTTAACTCATACTAACTTAAATTGACATCTTAAGCTTATCAAAGGGAAATCATATTCAGCATGCTGGGGCAATGGAGGGGCAAATGATGTAATTCCATGTAGTGTATATAGATGGTGTCATTGTCAATAACAAAGCAAATTCAACCCATCCTGTGTTTTCCCAAAACCCAGATGGTTGATCTATCACTAACAGCACAGCAAAATAATCCATTGAGTCCAGTTTTTGTTCACATCTTAGGTATTTTAAAATTAGTAGATACTAGCTTAGAGATAAAATTAAAAAAAAGCATTCTGTTGTCATTTTTATATTTAAATATTTTTAAACCTCAATATTAAAACAGAGAAAAGTACTTTTACAACACCTTAAACATAAAAACTTTTAATCTGACTCAACCCATCCAAACAATGAAAAAATAGATTCTTGTATTCAGCTTGAAATCTAACTTCACTCCCTGATACTGAGGTAAATAACACACCAAACTTAGCAACTCAGTGTGTCTTCCTTTATATATTTTTAAGTAGGTACTACCATATATTTTATTTAGAGCTATGTAGGTGGGGAAAAAATGAGTTCAAAAAGGAGAGAGGTCATTTCTCAATGTCTTTAGCTCATCTGTTTTTTATTATTTAGAGCTTCATTATCTATACAAAGAAAGCTCTCATCATCAATATCTAGTCTGCAAACTAAAGAGATATGATTTAGTTGACAGGGGAAAGTTCCAAGGAAAAGGATGTTAAAAATTAGAGAGGGAGAAGGAGAGCGTTGTATATACTCGTGGTAGTGGTGATGGAGGTTATGTGCTCTGGTGTCAGTTTCCACTCTTAGTGACCCTGCATAGGGGTTCTGAAGCTGTAAATCTTTACAGGAGCAGAAAGCCTCCTCTTTCTCTGGCGGTAACTACTACGCCACCAAAGCTCCTTAAATTTACTCGTAGTAAGTCCTTATTACTTTAAGATAATGGTGAGTTGAAAAAGGCTACTTAATGTGAATATACTAAACCAAATTAAACCCTTTGACATCAAGTCAATTCCAACTCATAGTGACCCTGTATAGGGTTTCCAAGGCTATAAATCTTTATGGATGACAGCCTTGTCTTTCTCCAGCAAAGTGGTTGGTGGGTTTGAAGTGCTGACCTTCTGGTTAGCAATTCAGTGCTTATCCTACAGTCACCACAGCTCCTTGAATCTACCAAAAGTGGACCAATATTTTATACCAGAGAAGAAACTGACAGACACTATCCAGAAGAAAAAAATCCCCAACAATTTAAAATAATAAAGATATTTAATCGAATTGTAAAAATTTATATTAAAATTATGGTTTTGCAAGAATTTTATGAATGAGCAAGTGTTTGTTAATAGTTTATTAATAGCCTAGTGATGGCTGATGCTTTTTTTGTCACAGAACTGCTTGGTAAATCATCTTTAACTGCTATGTTTCCCTTCTGAAAAATTATCCCAACTTTTATCAATTTCCCCAAGGATTGCTCTTGATTCTTCAATATTCAAATAATTTACTTTTAAAATGTATTTGCATCATTTAAGACATGTGAAGTGGCTTGCTTACAGCATCCGATAGTCATAGAGAAACTGACCAATAAATGTGTAACATATAGGAGGCATCATAGTTAATGTTAAGAGGAAGGAATATTTGAAAGGGGATTATTTTTATAAGTGAACAACTTCTTTAGTGAATAATCTATTTGGTAGACTTTTACTTTCCTATGCATTCTCTCCTCACCATGGGGTTGGGTAATGATATTCAGATGACTAGGATTTTTTTTCTCCCATAAGGAACTCCTCTCCCATCACTACCAGGGATATTAATTATGTATGTATCTCTAGGTAGATACATATCAACTTGTCAAAGTAACAGATCTGATGCAGGATTTCTTCACCTTGGATCCAAGGAGACAATTCTGGAAGTCTCTGCAACTTTATGGATGTATGAACATTTTAAGAAAGGTTAGGAAGACCTCAAAGATGAATTCAAGGCTGAGAGATCAGCTCAGAATGGTGTGGCTACTGACTTTTGGAATCCGAAGTAATCTTGATAGTTTCTCTCCAAGGACACAGAATGATCATGAATGCATCTTATGAAGTTTTAAGAAGATTGAAAATGGTACTGGTGAGAAAAATGCCAGGAAAGATGCAACAAGGATTGTGTTTTTTTCCCTTGAGGGTAGTAAGGCCTGTCTGTTGAGCATTTTGTTGGAAAATCTTACACTGTTCACCCTGACCTTGCCCCTTCAGCCTTCTTTTTGTTTCTCAAACTCAAAGCACATACAAAGGAATGCAATTTGACCCCCTAAAGGATGCAAAAACTGCCATTTGTGGGGAAAGGTTAGAGAGATTCTTCACAAGTATATAGACTTAAATGAAGGAAATACAATATATTTGCATAATAAAAGTTTTTATAATTTTTAGCAATCTTTTTCTTTTTTTTTTACTTACCCTCATATTTCAAATAAATTTATCTGTCTGGCTTCAATGAATGCTCTGGAAACTAAGGACATCCCCCCCATTGTAAGTAATGAAAATTATTTTGATTCTTCAAAATCTGAGATAGTATTGTAAGCTAAAACAGAAGCCAGTTGCCAGTCATGTGTTTCAAGGAAAAACTGCATTCCATGGAGTTTCCAATGACTATGATCTTTTGTAAGTAACTGGGCCATTTTTCCAGATCTGGATTAACCATTATACCATTAGGATTTAACAATTTCCCACGTTTATCATCAAATTTTGCTCTGGAGATGACATATTTTCCTTGTGAGTAGTACTTATAACTTACTTTCACAAATTTATCCCAAATTGACTATACATGAAAGATTATATCTCGGTCAAATCAATAAGCTATTATAACATTAATGTTATGTTTTCTCTCTCCTAGTAGAATACTTCTATTTTCTACTATATCATGCGATCTTAGTTTTCAACAGCCTGCACAATCTACTACCAACATTATTTTCCAAACTCCCTGACAAGTGTCTTCTCAGTGGGGCAGGTCTTTCTAAAGAATGACCTATGATCCTCCCCCCTGCCCCAACATGTTCACCTTTATCAGTTGGTTTACATTATTTTCCCATTAGCCACCCTCTGTACTTACTGTTTGTCTTTAAAAGAAAGTCTAAAATCTTTTGCTCCATTAGCTTTTGTGACTCTCCAATCTTCACTCATTTTAATGTTGCTGAGCTGCTGGACTTCCAGTTTATGCTTTACCTATTATACCTTAAGTCTCTATGTCCTCTATCTTTTGGTGTTTTATACATATTCTTGTTAATTCCATGAGAAGCAAGTCTATACCTTACCTATCTGTTCTACATTTTCTCAGGACCCTATGCAGATCCTAGCAGTCACTTTACAAATACTTACTCATATATCAGGTGATTATCCATGGAGCTCTACCACAAAGCAACATGTTGGTAACTCAACTCCCAAATCTACAACAAGCTCAAGAGTTAAAAAATCAGAATAAAACATCACAGATACATATGTATGTAATGTTGTTGTTGTTATGTGCCGTGGAGTCAGTTCCGACTCATAGCAACCCTGTATAGGGTTTCTGAGGCTGTAAATCTTTACAGGAGCAGAAAGCCTCATCTTTCTCCCACGGAACAGCTGGTAGATTCAAACTGCTAACCTTAAGGTTCACAGCCTGATTCCTAACCACTATGCTACCAGAGATGCTATTAAAGCAAAAAAAAAAAAAAAAAAAAAGATCTAGGGCTCATGGGAATAGAACTTTATGGTTCACTCAGAATTCAACATAAGAAGAAATATGAGGAGACTGCAAAAAGAAAGTTCATGGAAAAATAATGGAATTTTTCCCACAAACTATTTGAAGTCTTCATACTGTACCAATTATCTTGTTAGTTGGAAATCCCAATTTTCAATTTTGTCTATTTGAAACAACATTACATCCATTGTTCTCAACTATTTAATTGACATCCAATATTGGTTGTGGTCATACATTTTAAATAAATGTCAAATTGTCTTTGAGAAATTAGTTTTATATTCATTAACTGAAATTGATTAGCCAACATCCCTTCACAATAAAGGAAAGAGGATTTTGGAATGTAATTTTTGATGCTAATTGGAAAATAATAAGAATGAAGTCTGAAGTATGAAAAAATAATATACACTATGTAGATTAGAGTTAGAGTATGTATATGTGAAGTATTAAATTTAGCTCCTATTTTTATAAGCATGATTATCTGGAGAAAAGCATTCAATTAATTCCTTTTTCTGGATAGATCATATCTCCATAAATATGCAAGGATGCCTTTAAAATTATTACAATTGAACTGACTATAGGAAATAGAACCTCATTTTAGTAACTAATATTTTTATAAATTTTCTATGTTCCATTATGGAAAATGTAAATGTACATTGTTCAATTACAAGTTATAGAAAATCTATTTTATAATTATTTCCCCTATCAAACTTGAACTTTAGACAACATGCCCACTAGATGGTAGAGGGAAATAATGAACCACCAGATCAATTTTCATCTTGATTCTTAGAAAACCGATCTTGTAAGAGTTGGACAGTGAAGAAGATGGACATGAATGGCTAAGAGAAGGGTTGCATATTTCAGAATTTTCAGTACATTTACTCTTTGCAATCTCTTAATTCCAGTAGTACATTACCAAGTGTCTATTTTAAAATACCAGGAGGGAATTATTTCTCATTCTGTACTCTTCCCAGGAAAACAAACATTAAGTCAATTTGAACTCTAGTCATACAGGAAAAAATTTGTTAACTCTAAGTAATTCTTCCGACACCCTGCTTCTTCCTCCTGTGAATTCTTCTGTCGTGTCTTATGAATCCTTTTTTCATGTCCAACATATTCCTTTCAGAAAAAAACAAGCCAAAGATGTAAAGCAAACACAGAACCTGATTGCATAGCACCAACATAGCATTGCTTCCCAGTTGATGACTGGAGAGTCAGTTTATTGTTTAAAGCTCATCACCGTCATCTGAGCTAAAACTACCTCTTCTACTGCTCTCTTTAGAAACTGCAGGGGAAGTGGCAGATAGCAGAGGATCTGTTCCAAATGGAGATATTGTGTCATCAAGTAACATGACATCCAATCTTTGTTCCTCTTTCAAAGCAGCACTAAATGATAAATCAGTGAAGTGTGACAAAGGATCAGAGAAGGCCAGAGCTTGATCACAGACGGGAGGGCTTGGTCCTTGAGAAGGAGTCAGTTGCTGGCAATAGTCTACTGAATTCTGCACAGGATGGGTCTGTTGTTTGGTGATCTGAGCACCTAACTCAACCGTTCCAAGAGAAACCAGCATTGGCAAACCATGTGCACGAGCCTGTATTTCTAGTTCCTGCATTTTCAAACAAACAAGAATAATTAACTAATGACTTGGAAAGTGAGAAAACTCTACAGAATAAATTAGAAATAGTGTCAAACATTCAGAATTCAAGTATGAAGACTAGTACAAATTATAAGTAGATATGCAAATAATGGAAACTGATGTATATCTGATGCCTGAAACATAATCCTGAGAAAAACACAAGACTTTTTTTTTTTAAATTCTCCTCCCATTGTTCTTTGAAGGAATACACAACAGATGATGGTTTCCTAATGCCTCAGCCCACAATACAGCTGTTAATAGGTAGTGAGAAAATCTTCTACTTATTCTTTCTGGTTAATTTCTTACTATAATTCAGAAGTTTTTTATGAAAAGATAGTAAGTATGTTACTTGGCAATAATTATGCTCACATTAAAAAAAAAAAAATACCTAGAGACTTATGAGAGCCCATATTTTGATATTTTGAGTCACATGAACAGATGAGGAGTGAGCTAATATAAACTGGCACAAAGTGCCTTGAGGCAGTGAAATCCAGAGCAATGGTACTAAAGGAATAAAAAGCTAAAGGAGAATTTAGTGTCCAATATTGTCTCGAGAAACAAATGTTCTACTTAACATTATTTTTTTTGGCTGGGTGTATTTTTGAGATGAGATCTATTTCCTGCATTTTATAATTAGTCATCATTCATTTTCTATCCTTTTTATCTTTTTTTTTTTTTTCTGTAAGTCATCTTGATCCTGGAATTCTAATCAAAACCTAATTGAACCTCTCCAATTTATGAACTAGTAAAAGGTGATAAAATTGTCCTTCAGATGAAAAAATAATAAGGAAAAATAAGTGAGACCAATGAGTAAAATGAATGATGGGTAAGTCATATGAAAGGTACATGGTTCATAGCAACAATGTTATAAAAACCTGAATCCGGAGTAGAAGCTGCCTGTTAGCCTGCTCTAATTTCTTCTGTCTGTGTTCTAATTCTCGGGCTCTCTGTTGTTCTTTTTGTAGCCACTTGATGTACTCCACTGATGCTTTTAGAATGGTTCCTTTGTTCCAACGCATATCACTGTAGAACGGGAGATAACCTTTTCACAATTGTACATGTCAGCAGAATTCATAAGAACTTACAAAATCTTTTACATTAATATGAAATAATGATTTACATGACTATTATTCACTCTTAGATATTATTGCTACTGAATAGAAATTTTAATAGAATAGTTAAGAAGCCCTTATATAGTAAAATTAATCCCAGAATGAAAATAAGTGTCAAAAGAAAGTAATAAAGTGACTTTTTGTGGGAGAGCTAAATGCAATATCATGATTCTACCATTACAGTTTTTATATTTTTAGTGAAAATTGCTTTTATTATTAACTCCAAGATTAAAATCTATGTGCAGTATTTCTGCATTAATGAACTAGGAAATGTACATTACTGAGGACTTAAGCCTAAATTTTTTAAGATCGTTTCATATGTACCAATCTTTTAACGTACTTGCTAATAAGGTTGCTTTTATGCATCTAAGGGGGAAAAAAGGAAGGTCCCTCCTGAATGGTGAGCTTCAGTGACTGTGAAGCAAATCAGAGTTTAGCAACATTACCTCATCCAGAGAGCAAACTTGCTAAAGCCATTCGACAAATCATTCTACACAAAAAGCATCAATGGTTTTTGGAGAGCTGGATACTTATTTTTAAATAAATTCACAGTTGATAAATACAGTTAACTATTACTGGATAGTCTTATAGGCTGTAGAGTAGAAAATATTCTTTTATTCAAGTTTAATTTTTAAGACAGGAGAAATGATGGATCTGCAATTACAGAACAGACTGATTTTAACATCTGGAAATAAAGATCAATGAATTTAACATTATATGAAAATTGGTAATATGTATGGTAATATGTTCTGCTGTGGTACTGTAGGAGAAACACTGACTCTCCCAATCGCAAGGTCGGTGGTTCAAACCCACCAACTGCTCCTTGGAAATCCTATAGAGGAAGTCTATGAATTGGAACCCACTCAACACTTAACAACAATGTGGAGACTGAACCAAAATTGTCAAAAGTTTAATCAGAGCTGTTGGAAACCTTGATTAATCTTCCATTTAGGGAGCATTTTAAATACAGTATGTTGGGAAATTTTTAGAAGTAAACATGTACTTATAAAAATGTTGGGATTTTTTTAAAAAAATCATACTTTGAACACATCTCTGTGACAGATATTGAACTTGGTATGTACTAATGAACAGATCTGAAGTGGGAAAATTCCGTTTATGAAAGATCTGATGTTCAGGATAGATGAAAATGCCATTCGCCTTAGCAAATTAAGGAAAGACATATTTTTCTATTGGCTGATGAATATGTTTATTAAGGCTGGGGCAAGCTGATTTCTACTGAAACATACCAAATAACTGTCAGTGTCTGCCTCAATTTTGAAAGCATTTTGCCTATTCTTTAGGGTCATACTAACTATTGGTCTCATTATATTCAGTGATTTCCCTGCTGGTAAGTGTAAGGAAAGGCAGGATACTTTTATCCCTAAACCAAAGTGGAGTCTTCGAAAAGTGCAGTGGATGTTTAAACTAACACTGGCTGTCCACGCAAGTGGCTTATGTCCCTCAACATAGTTTTATATCTGTCCATGGAAAAGAAATCTTGAAGGACAGAGACAATAGGATAAAAATAATTTTCCTAGCCCACTCTGAAGTTTAAATTAAGTTTAAAGATCTAAATTTCAAAATGTTGGGGTAGACCACATAATGGATCTTACCTTAATTACACCCAATTTACTCTAAATGTTTTAAAGCATACTTAATTTTAAAGTCATCTATGAAATTTTTATTAAAATGTTTTAAAACTTTCCATATTTATTAAAGGGATGTTTGCTACTCTCCCAAGAAAATTTCAAGCAACTAGGCACGAAGTTTGTGGTTCAAACTTACCAGTTGCTCCTCAGAAACACTATGAGTTGGAACCAACTCTGTAGCACATAACAATAACAACAAGGCATTAAAGAAGAGCCCTCCCCCATCTAAGACTGAAACTCAAAGGGAACACATAAGCAGGCATGTAAGCTTGCTGGCAACCACATTGGTCTACTGGTGAGTAGAAGAGTAGGAAAGGCAGCAATGAAGAAATGGGCTGAGTTCAACCACAATCCATTGACTCCCATTGACCTGGAGATGAGAAAGAGTACAGGAAGGACTGGTTGGTCCAAAGTGTGGTGAGACCTGGGGACACCTGAGCCCATGAACAAGGACATGGGCTAGAGAGGGTGAAGCATCCAGCTGATATGAAGTGAGGGGAGATGCACAAGAACAGCCAAACATGCAGATAGTACCCATTTGACGTAGCCTTGATGGCTTGATAATCAGAGCTCGACTAGAGGATGATAAAAAACAAACAAAAATACAATTTTTGATAAAGGAAATAAGGATAAATTGCTACAATTTGATGAACTTGATGTATACTCATGGAGTATAGTAGCTCTAATACCAACAGAGAGGGAAAGAGTCTTCACATCAATTATCAATCCTATCCCCTCTATATTCAGGGTAGATACAGACGGGTAACCTAGACATTGCCTACCTAAAATGAGGAGGCAATAATGGCATGAAGTGACTGGCTTATAAGTTTTCAAGAGAGAACTTAGCTTAAGAATGTGTGAGAAAAGTAGAGTACCCACTGAACAGCTTTCATCTTGTATAGACAGGTCTAGTGAAAAGATGGGGATAAGATTCTTATGATCCAACAGTGAGTAATTGTTATCATGACTAATTGCAACTGTCACAATTGTAAAGGTAGAAGTTTTGTAACAAAAATGGGGGAGTAGTTAATCTTACAGTTCAGAAACAGAGGACCCTAAGACCATCAAGAGAGAAAGAGGGACCCTATCCAAGGAAGCAGCAATAGCAGAAATGGAGGCAGAGATGAGGACATGGGTAGGAGGAACAGCTGAGGACTCTAGATTCATGGGGAAGAGAAGGACTGAGAGCTGATGGCCAGGAGACAGATTTGCAGGATGTTGCCTTTGGTTGGTACATGGAGGGGATTATAATCATTGTAATGAAACGAAGTATAAGATTTGTTGAATGTAGAACTGATGATCTGCCGTGTAAACTTTCACTCAAACCACAATAAAAACTAAAAAAAAAAAAAAAAAAGCCCTCATGGCACAGTGATTATCTGAAACTGCTAACTGGAAGATTGGTGCTTTGACCACACCAGCAGCTCTGTAAGAGAAAGATGTGGTGGTCTGCTTCCATAAAGATTTACAGTCTTGCAAACCCTTTGGGATGATTCTACTCTGCCCTGTTCAGGTCTCTATGAACCATAATGGATTCAGTGGCAATGGGTAGGTTGGTAGACATTGCATGTGATAGTACACTGAAAACGTTAGCACAGCAATTAAAAGGTAGCTGAGAAAAGAATGCTGATGTTGACATTTTATTTTCTGCAAAATAATTTTCTTTGAAGAACTTAAAACATTTTGCATGTTGAAAGCTTGAGTCCTTCTAAAGTCAAAGCCGGTAACATACATGTATGAATTGGGTTAGGAATCATACAGGCAAAACATTGAAAAATATACAATCTCTTGTCATCTTACGAATGTACAATTTAAAAGGATCACAAAATAGAAAGAAAGAAATAAAGGAAAGAAGAAAGAGAGAAAAGAAAGAAAGAGGGAGAAGAGAGAAAGAAAGGAGAAAAGAAAAAGAAAGAGGAGAAAAAACAAGAAAGAAAATAGTACAACACGTCATATTTTTTCCCCCTTTCGGTCAACATTTTGTAACTTCTGATTCCAAAAGTCTTGTTAGGTGTCATTTACTATCTCAGCTATCATGCTTACTCAAAAGTAGAGTGAGTTCCAATGGCAGAGGGGGGAAAACCAGGAAATAGATAAACTTAGTAAAATACTGTAAGTTATTTTGTACATTATTAAATGCCTTTGATTCAATTCTGACTCATAGTGACCTGTATAGGATTTCCAAGGCTCTTATAAATCTTTGTGGGAGCAGAAAGTCTCATCTTTCTTTAATTTTGTAAATTAGAAAAGTGAGAAAACAAGAGCAATTTGATAGCACCAATAGAATAACTCATATTCTAATGGTACTTTTAATTCTTACTATGATTTTTTAAATAAACGTTGTTCTTGTACATACATAGACAAATGTGTCTATAAATAGGCCAAAGTAGAGCATTACCAGGCATCTGCAGAAACACTTTACTTTTTTTGGTTTGCTTGTTAGGTTTGTTTTGTATTTTACCCCTGGTAAATACGTTGTCATTCTCTGGTAGTTTGCTTTGTCTTATATATGTGCTGATGGTTAATGCACTGGACAGCAAAGTCAGTTTGAACTGCAAAATTGGTGTCTCAAGCTCACCAGTTGCTCCTCAGAAACCCTATATGGGGTTGCTATGGGTCGAAGCCAACTTGATATCACTTAACAACAACATACAACTCAACTATAGCTGTTCCCTAGACTGCTTTCCATTCTGACCTCACCATTTTGATCTGCAAAGAAATAGAAATTTCTGAATGTTTTTGAAACATGAAAAATCGTAACTTCACATAATTCAGAATATCTTCAGGTATTATTTTATATCCTAAACAAACTCAAAAGTTGTTTTTTTTCTAATCATCAGTTGAAAAGTCGTCAGAAACAGTGCACAGTTCCCATTTCCCAAAAGCATGTTGGTGTTTAGAAGATGAACCCCAGCTCTCTTCAATTTAGTTAGTGATCTTTTTGCAAATCTGTGCCTTCCCTGCTTTAGAAACAGATTCCACCCTAAGAAATATGGTTTATACTGTACCCCAGTCCCCTCAGTGCCATATGATAAAAACAAAGCTTCTACAAGGCATTACCATCCTCCTGCCTGTACTGCTCTGGTATTATCAATGATAAATTGATATCTGTCCTTTTCACTTATCCATTAAGAGATTATGACACACAAATGAAAGAACACTGTGTGAGGCCATCCTATCATTTGAAATTTGTTATTTAAAAAAAATTTAATTATTATAATGGTTATAGTTACTTTCTCACCATGAGCTAGAATCTACTGGTAATGAGTTAGTTATCTTCTCAACAAATTAGTCTGATATTTGTTAACCTTTACCTAAATCTGGTTTAATCGTTGGTTTAGATTTTTTTGTTGTTGTTGTTAATCTTCACCATTACTTAAAGAAGTAGTGATCTATCCTCATTCCATTCTCTACCTTCAAAGTGAAAGTTACCTTCTCTATATTTGATTCCCACATTTTTTCATTAATACTCTCATTTTCTATAGCATCTAGATCATCCACAGAGTAGATAGTTGTTCCTGAGGCCCACGTATCTAGACCTTACATTTCAGAAACATCTGTCTTGACATTCTGGATTCAACCAAAATTCACGAGTCCATTGTTGTGGATTCGTGGGACTCTCATTGGTGCACCGTACAGACAGACACTGGAGTAATAGTTGAGACCACAGCAAACCAAATGATTAGATATCCTGGAACAGATTGGTAGTGTGATGTCTGTAATGCCCCATAGAGTTCCCAAAATTGTATCAATCAATGGGGCAGATCCAGCATTTTTAAGGTATATCACCTCAAGAGATTGCAATCTTAATAAACTGACAAATCAGAAGATTTCTACATCTTTCCTTGCAGTGCAGTTGGTGGATTTGAACTGCTGATCGTCTGATTAGCAATCAAGGACTCTAGCCACTGTGTCACCAAGGCTTCTAATTGCAGCAAAGTAAGACTAATAAGAGTCATATGCACCTGTTTTGACTACTTACCCACATAGTCTTAAAATCAAAGTTAACAACCCATCTCCTATGTACCTCGTCTGGAGACTGCCCATACCTTCAAGAGGAAAAATACTATATTCCCTTTTCTCACAGTTATTGAGTTTCCAGAATAAATTAACATATTAGAATCTTAAGGAAAAAATATCTTCAGACCTCACATAGATCCCTTTATCAAACATCATGTATAAATAATGGATCATGACCAGTATTTGGAGATGCCAGTTCTCAGTTAAAATGAAAAAAAAAAAAAATTCAAATAATTATTAATGATATTGATCATATTTTATGTTTTAGCAAAATATTCAACAGACATGTTTAATATTCCTTAAGGTTTCTATTTGCTAACAAATTGTTTAACTGAGTTTGTCCCTCAATGACACCAAAACCTAATTGCAAATTGACTTACTATGGTAATTGATTATTTGGTTGGCATCAATCAGCATGTTTTTACAATTCTATTTTTTCATTTTTATATCTCTTGAATTTTGGGACCTCTGAAAATAAGATATTTCTATTTTCACAAATATAAATCTCAGATTGGTAGAATTACTAAAATAAAAAAGTTAACTATATTTGTCAGCATCATATATAGTATTTGACACTCCCACTAAATTTGCTAATATTATTAGCATACCTATGAACTGAGAAGGAATAATTTATGTATTTCCTATATCTTAAAAGGCCACCTCTCAATAACATTCTTGAAGTCTAGAGTAAATATATATATGAGACCAGTAGTAACCTTATCTTTGTCATAAGCTGCTGAATTTCCTGGTCATTGGTTCTCCTCTTATCCCTCCCACCCATTTTGGGAAGTATTGAAACCATAACATTATTATAGAAATGATTGTCCAACTCACGGATCATTAGACTTTGGAATAAGAGTGCCAAGCTCCTTGATTCTGTAATTAATATTATACCTTCTTCTTCTTTCAACTGTTAAAAAAAAGAAATATTATTGATTATTCTCATTAAAAGTACAGTTCACTTTGGTCAGCTGCAAACTTGCTTAATAATCTTCAAAACACATTCATCCAAAAAGTTCCACTTCGTCAAAAGATAGTACTCCTCAACAATAAAATAATGTCAATGTAGTCTATAAAAATGTCTAGAAATAAAAAGTCTCAATGCAGAATTAGAATTAAATGATTCACAATGTCTTTCAAAAACATTTTTATAATGCTATAATATTTAGTCATGTTATAATAAATGTGGGTTTTTTTCTGGTTTGCTCCTTATTTCACACATACACATTGTGTCAGTTCATTAGGACTGTTGTCTCTTGAGGTTATGTACCTTGTTTTACTCTTCTCACAATCTCCTCTCAAGGCCTAACACAACGTTTAGCACATAGTAGGTGTATGTGCTCCACTAGACTATGACCACCTTTAGGGCAGGGACTATTGTCTTACTCATTTCGTATTCCCATATAAACCTAATGTGTAACCAAGGTTGACAAGGATGGGCAACTGAGACATTGGCCACCTAAAATGTGGGGGATATAAAGGCATGAAGTGACTGGCTTTCAAGTTTTCAAGAGGGAGCTTAGTTTCAGAGGGTGCAGAGGAAGGTAGAATCTCCACTGATTGGTTTTCAACCTGTCTAGATAAGGTTGGTGAAAGGAGATGCGGATAAGACTCTTGTGGTTCAATAGTGAATAATTGTTATCAGGACTGATTGTGATTGTTGCAAATGTAGAGATAAACATTTTGTAACAAAAGGAGGGGAATGGTTGATCTTGCAGTCCAGGAGCAGAGGACCCTGGGACCATCAAGGAAGAAGAACAGAATGCAGGACTCTATCCAGAGAAGCAGTGATGCCAGAGATGGAGGCAGTGAAGATGAGTGGAGAGATGGAGTGACTGGGGACTCTAGACTCAAAGAGGCAGTGGGCTGTGTGCTGGCAGCCGGGGGGTGGGGGGGAGCAGGTTTGCAGGGTATTGGTTGTTTGAATGATTCCTGAGTGCTTCCATGTACATAAAAAAAAAAAAAAAACAGAGGGAATGGAAGCAAATGCTGTCGTAATTGCAATGAAATGAAATACAATGAATGTAAAGCTGATGTTCTCCCATGTAAACTATACTTAATTCACAATAAAAACTTTAAAAAAAAAAAAAAAAAAAACTAATTTGTAACACATAACCAAATAATCTAAGCGCATTGCTGTTGAGTCAGCTCTGACTCATGCTGGTGTGTCTGAAAATAGATTGCACTCCACAAGATTTTCTAGGCTATGACCTGTTGTAAGCAGTTTGCCAGGTCTTTCTTCTGAGGTACCTTTGGGTGGGTTTGAATTACCAACCATTCAGTTAGTAGTTGAGAAATTAACCATTTGTACTACTCAGGGACTCCATGTACTGTTGTTGTTAAGTGCTTTAAAATCAGTTCTAACTCAGAATGACCCTGTATAGGGTTTCTGAGGAGCAATTGGTGAGTTTGAATCACCAGGCCTGGGATTCAAACTGATGATGTAGTCCAGTGCTTATCCTACAATGCCACATTAGGATTCCACATATGTTGTTGTTGTTAAGTGCCGTGGAGATGGTTCTGACTCATAGTGACCCTGTATAGATTTTCTGAGGAGCAGCTGGTGAGCTTGAACTGCCAACCTTATGGTTCAAACTGACTTTGTAGTTCAGCACATTAACCTACAGTGCCACACCAGGACTCCTCCATGTATAGTAAGTGTAAAATAAATGCTTGATTAAATTTTAAATATACAACTTACTATTTTCAATGTTATCAGAGTAGTGGTTTTAACATTTTTCCTGCATCAAGCATATTTTGAAGGCTTTAAAAAATGATTGCTATTTCTACAAACCCAGAGTTTCTGTGGCTCTGAGATACAAGTTCAAACTCACCAGTTGAGCTGCATGACAGAAAGATGTGGCTGACTATAAAGACTGCAGCCTTGGAAACCCTTCGGGGCCATATTACTCTGTCTTACAGGTAGCTGTGAATTGGTATGGACTCACAAGCAATGGGTAGGCATTGGGACACAAGAATTTGTATTTCTAACAAATTCCCAGGTGATGTTAATGCTGCATGTCTGGGGCCCAAATTTTGGAAACTACTGATACAGATTCTTATTCAGACACTGTATTTGATGTTTGGATTCTCATGCATTGCTTATGGTAAATCTGTGCATGAAGTAAATGTTTAATAAATGCCAAACATATAAATATGTAGAGTTTCTTCTATTGACCCTTGTCCAAGACTGGTCTTCTACTCAATAGTCCCCATATCTAGAAGGAAAAGGACATATTTATAAATAATATAGTTCAAATAAATATTACGCTCCATATTTTCCAGGGAAATGAAGAAAAAGTCCATGGAGAAGAAAAATGTATGTCAAAAAATTGTAAAATATTTAAATTATACACATTTGAGAATTACTATCTGCTACTGGAAACAGGAAAAGTCATGAAAGAAAATCAATTGTCTGGGTGAACCTTCTCTACAAAGCAAATTTCCATGAATAGATTTGACCTTCAGGAATAATGTATCGGGCTTCTTCTGATATTAGAATATAATTGATTCTCAGGGGATTCCCCCCCCCCTTTTTTTTTGCCAGTCCTGTTTTGCCTGTTGATGTGATTTAAGAAAACAACTAAATTACACCACATTACAAAATTGAAAAGGAAAAAAGAAAAGAAAAGGAGGGGGACTAAAGCTCCTAGAAACATACCAATATAGATATCTATATATTTTATCATATGAATTTATTAATGATTCTTATGTTCACCATACTTACACATATCAGACAAAGAAAATGAAGAAGAGCTATGATGAACAGTTCATAAGCAATTTTATCTCAAAATAAAATAGAGGATTGATCTAGTCCTTTGATGTACCTTCAAAATATATATTTAAATTCACCTTATGCCTACTCAACTGTTTTTAAACTGTACACTATAAAGGTTGCTATTGTTGTTGTTAAGATGCCACTGAGTTGATTTTGACTCATAGCAAACCATGTGACAGATAACTTTCCCATAGGGTTTCATAGGCTATAATCTTTACAGTATGGTAGCGTAGTGCATTACAAACTTGGCTGCTAATTTGCCAGTCACTCCACAGGAAAAAAAGATAAGGCTTTCTGCTCTCATAAAGAGTTATAGCCTCAGAAACCCTATACAGTACAGGTGCGGAAACTTTTTTCTGCCAGTGTCATTTGGGTATTTTAACATGATTCACGAGTCATACAAAACTATCAACTTAAAAGTTAACCTGCTATATCTGGTCAAGGACTTCTGGTGTGGCACTGTAGGATCAATACTGAACTGTGAACCACAAAGGTCATCTCTTGGTTATATGGGAACACGTTTCCAGCATATAAAGTTTCCACAGGGCAAGGCAACACAATTCCCCAGTTAGGGTTACTTGCACGAGAAATTCTCTGTCCAAACACCTGGAACCCACTGTCAGAGCCTATGCAGGCTGCTTCCCCAGACCCAGCTTCTTGAGGATGGACCAGGACACACGATGTAGCTACGGGGCTATTTTCTGCAGGGGTGTGGATGGACCTTGGATGTGCAAGATGTGGCACTCACACATACTCAAGGAGGCCACTTGTAGTGCAGAATATAATAAGGGTGGGGAGAGAAGAAGGCCAACCTACCCTACCCAGAACTCAGAGAACTCAGAGAATCCAAGAATTCTAAAGGAGTTGTTATTGTTAATTGCCCTGGTGTGGATTCTGATTCATGAAAATCTATAAGTGTGCAATTACTAGCTGACAGATTGGTGGTTCCAACCCATCCAATACTGCCTAGTTAGACAGACATGGGAATTTACTTCTGAAAGTATTGGAAACTGTATGGTGTAGTTCTACTGCTCATTCATGAGGTCATCATGAGTTTGCAAGGACGTGCTAAATTTAGCACTTTTAAAAATGTATGTCTTCATTTTTCTACATTTTGTACTCTAGTCACAATTCTCACAAATTTTAGGGGTGTGCCTATATTTAAAATATATCAATGTAAGTAAAACTATATTGCTATTAGGCTTCTGGACTCCTGGTATGGTGCTGTAGGATAAGCACTAGACTGTGAACTACAAGGCTGGTGATTCAAGCCCACCAACTGCTCCTCAAAAACCCTTTATAGGGTCGATATGAGTCGGAACCAACTCAATGGAACTAACAAAAACACTTGAATTCCAGTTTATATATGCATGGTTTTAGTCCTTTTAAAAAAAAACGTTCAATCCAAACAGTGACTTCTCAGGGGATCTACTGGACTCGTTAAATACGAGGCAGAAAAGTCAGCTCAAAAAGTTACGGCAGCTGTTTTTTTTTTTTGTTTTTTTGTGTGTTTTTTTTAATTCAAATGGGTAGTCGAGAGATTTTCTCAGAGGACATAGAATGGTCATGAGGATTTATGAAGAAACTTAGAGAAAATTGAAATACATAGATGAGAAAAGGTCAGGAAAGTTGCAACAGGGTTTTTGTTTTGTTTTGTTTTGTTTTGTTTTCATCACAACAGTGCACCTGTTGATTCTTTGTGGGTAGCAAAGAACTTCTCATGGTAATTTTGTTGGGAAGCTTTACAAGAATTCCTTTAAAATGTCAAAACTGGAAAAAATCAAGGAGCTCAGAATCCTCCAGTGAAGGGTTAGGAAGATGGAAATAACTCCTTCAGAAGTGTATAGACCAAGAGGAACGAGAAGTTGAGAAACAATCACTTCACATTTTGATATTTTTATTTAATAAAGATGGCTATGATTTTGTAGCACTACTTTTTGACCTATCTTCATCTATACATTGTATTTGTACTTATAGTATTTATATTAAATTGTATTCATATTTTAAATATACTTAAAATGTATGATAATTATACTTACAATTCTTGACATTTCCCTCCAAAGTACATGATTCAGCACAGGGATCCAATTAGAAAACACTTTGAAAATGGACATATCAAACACCTTTCTTACTTACTCTATATTAAATACCACACAAGGTGCTGTCGAATCAATTCTGACTCATGGTAATCCCATGTGTGTTGGAGAAGAACTGTACTCCATAAACTATATGATGCTGAATTTTCACAAGTAGATTGACAAGGCTTTTCTTCTGAGGAACCTCTAAATGGACTTAAACTTTCAGCCCTTCAGTTAACAGAACATGTTACCCATTTGCACCACCCACAGACTTCACTCCACCTTAAATAGTATACTATTTCAGCTGAAGATGAGCAGGAGGGAAGATAAGAGCAAGGAAATTAAGTTTAGGAGGTACAGAATTTATAAAGAAGCTGATCGTTCCTTGATGCAGTAATTCCTTCTATCAACTAAGAATTCTCCTCACTCATCTCCTATTTGTCTCATAATCTAGACCAAAATTGATTTGGTTTGCCTCTACAGGCTATAAAATTAGACAGTTTTTTTTGTTGTTTTTTGCTTTTTTCTTCAAAAGTACCCAGGATTCCTTTCTTCTCAGTAAGTAAACTGATTATTCAGAGACATAGGTAAGAGCATTACAAACAGGTGCAGGTTTCAGAAGTACATTTCAAATCAATTTAAGTTAATCACATGTACGTAGGGAGCGCAGTGGCTTCTGATGTAAGCCCTGGACTCTGAACTACAAGGTTCGCGGTTCTATCTGCTCCTTGGGAGAAAGATGAGGCTTTCTGCTTCGTTGAGATTTAAAGCCTTGAAATCCTCTACAGGTCGCTAATGAGTCGGAACCGATTCCGGAGCACTTAACAACAACAATTACATGTAAGAAAACGATGGTTTGTTGTAGGGCTTTAACGCTTTTGTTTATTTTGATCTTTTCTCGAGTTTTTCTTTGGTTCTCAGAACAAGTAGACTTCACACCCAATTCCTACATTTCACTTGACATAGTGAAACAGTTGAGACATGACCTAGGACTCTACAGCTCAGCCTTGGCCCTAAAATGTTTCCCTTGCCAGCATTCTTCCATCTCAGGTGATCTGTTATCAGAGTCAAATTGACCCCCAGGGAACCACTGGAGCTATTTTCCCCACCCAGAGGCATAATTAAGCACTCCAGCAAAAGCAGTACCTTTCAGATTGGGGTGGAGGTGCGGACTAATACACAAAAATGAGAACCTGGACTTTTGTGTCTTGCAATTTAAATGTATATCTTCTGAAGTCACTTTTATGTCTTTAACCTTCTAAGTCAAGGAGTCACAAGAGAGTTCAAACATAACCAAATGCATTCAGCTCCCTCACCAACAGTCTTTTTGAAAAATGAGTAAACAAGAAGAGAAATCAAGATGTTTCACTTCATGAAAATATATAGCCCTTCTGTAAGTTTGCATTGTTTAAATCTCCCAAAGTAGCCCATTTTATTATCATATACAACAATTTCATGGTTATCTGACTTCAAAATGCTTATGGATTGATCACAAGAGGCCACAGGTTTTTAATCTACACACATTCCCCCTGCATTACTCAATTTTATTTGGAAAAATTCCATATACTCACTGAGGTTGTGGTTATCTTTTTTTTGCCTCTCCTTTGCCAAAGCTCGAGTATCAGTTTCTGATCAAAAGAAAAATAATTCACAGTCTTTAGCTATACCTTAAATCCCTCCCAGTCAGCATCATCCAGGAAAAACTAAGTGAAAAGACAAATTTACTTACTCTAAAATATTTTAATAAATGTTCTACACAAATATTTGAAAATTTGGAAAAGAACACTCTTTAGTCGGGCACAGTGATAAAACCTTTAAACTCCAGAGTCAGTAAAACATGCATTTGTGTCCTGGCCTGCCATTCAATAGCCTTGGGATGTATTACCTAACTTCTCTGTGACTCAAATTTCTAATATGAAAAAGAGAATGATAGAATTTTTGTAACAATTAAAAGAGACACAATCTATAGCAAATATTAAACTGTGACACTTTGGGATAAAACACAGGACTGCAGTTCAGTTTGAATCACAACATCAGTGGTTCAAACTCACCAACCACTCCTTGGAAACTCTATACAGGGTCACTATGAGTTGGAACCAACTCCAAGACACTTAACAACAACATCATAGCGTATTATTATTAGTTTCAGAATTTGAGATTCAGAAATAAGTGATTCCCCCCTAAATTCTTCAATAGTTTCATTTTGATCTCAAACATTAGAATGTAGTTTTCTATATTCTAAGAGTTCTCATATACTCATCAGGCAACCCTATACTTCTTCCCAATCAATTGTACTTCACTATGTGTTGCTGGTGTTTGGATAGCTGCCTCCAAGATTGCCCACAATAATTCTCACCTCATGCTCTTCACACCATTGGTAATTCCCCCCCACATTGAATAGGGTTGGCCTGTGGAACCAATAGAATACTGTGGAAATGACTAGTGTGGCTCCCAACCGGAAGTTATAAGAGACTTCCCAGCTTTATCTTTGCTGTCTCTTGGATCAATAGATATCATGTTATGAGGGTGTTCAAAGAGCCCGATAAAGAGTTCCAAGATTAAGGAACTGAGATTGCTTGCCAAGAACAAACATTTACTTTCCAAGACTGTTAGTAAGCCACCTTGAAGGTACATCCTCCAGCCCCAGTCAAGCCATCAGATGGTTGTATCTCTGGCTGATGACTTTACTGCAACCTCATGAGAGACTTTGATTCAGAATTTAGTCAGCTAAGTCACTCCTGGATTTCTGACCCACAAAGACTGTCAGAAAAACTAAAAGTTTATTATTTCAAGGTGCTAAGTTGTGAGATAATTAGTTATACGACAATTCTTAGAATTATAACTTTAAAAAAATTGGTAATCCTGGAATACATCTTACTTCCACATGTTTATTTTATACAATATATTTTAGTCTGAATAGTTTTTAATCTAAATAATGTTCGTATTTTTAATTGTATAAAAACCAGGTCAAACTAAAATTTGTTTTGGAAATTTCAATTGATTTTGTTTTAATATTATGATAGAACTACACTGGACTAGTAAATCAGGAAACCTGCACTTTTATCCAGTTCTGTCTCTAACCTGCTGTGTGAGTTTTTAACTTCTTTGATCTTTGATTTCCTAATCTATACCATGTCCCTATAAGGAGCTCTGGTAGTGTAGTGGTTAGGAGTTGGGCTGCTAACTTCAACGTCAGCAGTTCAAAACTACCAGTTGTTCCACGGGAGAAAGATGAGGCTTTCTGCTCCTGTAAAGATTTACAGTCTTGGAAACCCTATCTGGAGTTGCTATGAGTCAGAACTGACTTCACAGCGTACAACCACCACTACCACCACCATGTCCTTATAATTCCTTGATTTTTAATAAATTTTAAGCAAACTATTTGGAATCAAGGGGAATCCTCCTTGACTCAGTTACATACTCTGTTATGAATTCAAGCTAAAAATGAACAAATTAATCAATCGTTAATTTTTATCAAATTTTACATAAAAATAATTTTGTCCTTATTTGATCCATAATTTCACAACCATGCTAATAAAATTGAATCTATTCAATAGCAAACCAAACCTATTTTAAATGAAGGATTTATTCAAACTGTCATACAGCCTGAGAGTGTGGTGGTTCTGTAGGATAAACACTGAATTGCGAACCATGAGGTGGGCAGTTCAAGCCCAGCTACTTAGCAGAAGAAAGATGAGACTTGCTGCTCCTGCAATGTTATTTACAGCCATGGAAACCCTATACGAGTCAGAACCAACTTGATGGCACTTAACAACAACAATAACAAATCATAGAGCCTAAGTGTATATTTTCCAATTCTTAAAATAATGAAAAAATTAACTTAAATCACAAGTTAATTAATTTGCTTTTTGGTTGTTATAAAAAATTTATTTTCCCTCTAAATGTCTCCTTATATATTTCAATAATATATAAAGATACCTTGGGTTGATAATATATTGCCACTCATATCCTATATTGTGGATTTAAAAAGAAAAAAAGACTAGCAACATTACCTGTAACTTCTCTTTTCATTGGTAGACTATTTGGACAGGAAGCACTTGTAAGTCCCATATTAGCTGGTGAAATCCCCTGCTCACCACTATATGCATCCAGAATACTTCCAGATAACTTGAGAGGAAATAGGAAGAAAGGCTTAATTAAACCTCCTGTACATATTGGTCTATTTAATATTAATCATAAATTTTCCATCTAAACCTTCACTCTGTCAAATAATTTGTAATGTATAGAATTGTAATATTTCAAGGAAGTGGGTATGCATTGACTATATTAAAATACATTATGGAATTCTTATGGAGCCGATATTTTGAATAGAGCTATTTGTATTTAAGCAAAAGGATCAATTAAGAAGGAAATTTTTGATCAATATTTACCAAGTTATGAACATTTGATCCAGTGTTTGATTATTAAGAGAATACAATTCACATAGCCAACATTTGATTATTAAGTGAATACAATTAAAATTATTATTTTGGAAAAAACTCAAAGCCCACTGCATACCACAAATTAGATATGATGGTTGAGCATTTTGGAAGCATTCTTAATATCATCACTGCTATCAGAAATTCAGTCAAGATATTTTTATACAGTTTATTAAGAGAAAAACTTCTTATTCCAGGATGTCATATTTTTCCCTCTGTATGTTTATTGTTCTAGACTGTTATAAGTATCCCAGCTTGTAAACAAAAGTTTTCTAAAATTACTACTGCCTCTAGTGGTTATAGGGTACATTCAAATCTAGCAGCCCTGCAATTCTTAGTGTACTTCTTGGGAAGAAGTTTTCAGAAAGCTAAGATGCATTAAACACAACTCAAAATTGTATCAGTCATTATTCAAAATGGCTACTCATTTTGATCACCCAGGAAAATCAACCTTAAATAATATTCATAATGCAGCCTAATATTCTTTATTGTAGAACAGCTAGATTATAAGATGTAAGATTTGGAAATTTGAAGTAGGTCCAGTCTTATTATCATTATTCCATTTCTGATCAGATAAACCAAGAACTGAATAAATAGCAACTCTTTCTCTCTGTGACAAGAAGGAACAATCCATACAATCAAACAAAATTATTAAAGAAAATCTAACTCAACATTCTTACTTCATGTGAAATTTCAATTCAAACTGAAAAAAAAAGTTTGACACTTACAAAATAAATTGAAAATAAATGTGAAGAAAAGTCATATTAAGACCTGGACTAGTTTCTAACATCAAAAGCCATGACACTTTATGTTGTTGTTAAGTGCCGTCAAGTCAGTTCTGACCCATAGCGACCCTGTACAGGGTTTCCAAGGCTGTAAAATTTTACGGGAGCAGAAAGCCTCATCTTTCTCGTGCAGAGCGGCTGGTAGTTTCGAACAGCTGACCTCAAGGTTCACAGTCCATTTCATAACCAGTATTAAATCATTTGTTTTGTTACATGTCATCAAGTCAGTTCCAACTCATAGCAATATGGTATAGGGTTTCCAAGGACCAGATGGTGAGCCTGAGCCATCGACCTTGCAGTTCAAACCAACCTGGCAGTCCAGTACATTAACCAACAGAGTCATACCAGAACTCCAGCTAACACATCAATCAGTCTATATACTAATGAAGGCTATTACTGATTGCATTCTGATTTACATTTATATAAACTAAAGCTGAGACAACCTAATATAGTCAATAATAAAACAATCCCATGTATCAATTATTTTATTACTGGCTATTATTAGGATGCCTCAACTTTAGTTTATATATATGTACTGGTGTGAAATGTATTTTTAGTGTATGGATCTTAGAAGAGAGCTACTTAAGTGAAGCACATATTCCTTCTTAATTTCCTCCTCAGCAAATAAGACCAAAGTTCATCTAACCTGGAGAGATAATACATGTGAGTATCAGAAAAGTACAACTAGGAAGAAATCAAGAAAGCAGATATTTCCTTAAAATGTGAGTCATCTAGTCATAGATTTTTCAAGTAAAAAGTTTCCTAGAGTATTTTTGCAAAGCCTATTGGTTATGAGTTAAGGCAACACCAAGCTGAATTGTACTTTCCACTGTGCCTTTGAGAAATATAATGGGTGCACTGAACAAAAAGACGGGGACTGAGGGGAAGACATTAGGGAAAGGGCACATTTCCGCTGAAGAGTTTGAAGTCAGATGGATTTCAATGCAGAAGTGGCAAATTGCAGAAATGTTAAAGAAGAAAAGGAGCCATCTTACATACAGACTGCAACAATAAAGAGATAGGTTCTTAACTATAGCTCTTTGCTAAGTCCATAGTCCCTGGTCATACTATAGTCAATGTGTTATTCTTTAGAAATGCGGCTGAAATTCTGATAATGAATCTAATCTTACTTAACTACAGCTAGATGACATCTTCCTCGAACCTTGGTTATTGTCTAATGCTTGCCCTAAACCTCAATGATTAATATCCTATTTCATTTTATGCTATAGATACTGCTCTGTTTTATGTAAATGGATAATCACTTTTTGCATATGATTAGACAATTAGTTTCTGTTTCAAAGTACACAATACCCTTCATGCAACCTAATGTGTCTTTTTTTTTTATTAATTAAATGATCTAAAGCAAAGTAATACTAAAAATTTAAAGCATACATATGTGTCCAAAAGGGCTAACAAAGCAAAATGGTATCTACTTTAGTCAAAGTATTTTACTTAGTATATATTTCAGAAACCATAACTTTATTTTGAAGATTAGTTAGCCACTCTGATACACAAGTTATAGATAAATATTTGCTATTCTGCTTAAATAAAACAAGATGTAGGTTGTTCCTTCAGCAAAGCAAAATTTTTTGACATAATGGTATGGAAACTTACTTAATAGCAACATAACAACAAACTTTTAAAGATATATACAAAATATTTATATATCTTAAAAAGTTTGTTGAGAACTCCAATGTTTCTCAAACTTACAAGATACATTAAAAGCATTTCTAAAAAACTTCCAACAATGTAGAAAATCTTCCTCTATCAGACTGTGTAAGTAGAAACAATCCAGTCTTAATCTAAGCAGCTGCTATAAAATGAGGAGTGACTGACAGCAAGTTCCCTGGGGTCTGAGGTACCCCACTCTAGTGGGCATTCAGGCTTCTTCTACTGAGTCATTAGGATTATTGCTGATGTTGTTAAGTGCCATCAAGTAAGTTCCAACTCATAGCAACCCTGGATAGGGTTTCCGAAGAGCAGTTAGTAGGTTTCAACTGCTGACCTTGTGGTTTGAAGTCCAGTGCTGATCCTACAGTGCCACACCAGGAGTTCTGTAATGGTAGCCATTATATCCTGAAGAAAATGAGCTCATAGACAAAAATAACAAGACATCTGATAAAAATAACTTTTAAAATGTGAACAATATACAGTGTTAGAAATAACATCAAAAGCAAAATAAATAAATAAGTAAAAAGATGCAATCTAGCTTCTTAAAGTAGCCTAATAGAGCTTCTAGAAGACATAAGGGGAGGTGTTTTCAAATAAGAAACAAGAAGGGATAAACATAAATATAAATGAGCAGAAATAATGATGTGAAGTGTATAATACTTAAGGAAAGTAGAACTACAGAATGAATCCACTGAACAAAGAATCAGTGAATTTTAACACCAGATTAAAGTAATCTCTCAGGAGGATAAAGAGAACATATTAATGAAAATTTAATCAATATGAAATATAGAATTAAAAGGAATAAAATACAGATAATTAAGGAGCTCTGGTAGCATAGTGGTTACAAATCGGGCTGCGAACCTTAAGGCCAGCGGTTCGAAACTATGAGCCGCTCTGCGGGAGAAAGATGAAGCTTTCTACTCTGTAAAGATTTACACCCTCGGAAACCCTGACCCTCGGAAACCCTGTACAAGGTCACTATGGGTCAGAACTGACTCGACGGCACTTAACAACAACAACAATAAAAGCTTTAAAGAGGAATAAAAAATCAATGTGGAAAGGATAAAAGGGTTTTAAATATTTTTCCAGAAGTTACATTAAATAAAAAATCAAAGTATTTATTTTATTTATCTTGATCCTATCTATTTTTATTTAAAAATTAAAACTTCTATAGAATGACCAAGAGGAAAAAAAAAAGACCTACACTCAAAAACCCACTATAGTGAAATTTATGAATAACATTAGCAAAGAGAAAAATATAAAAGTCTGACGAGAGAAAGAGAAGATTATGAACAAATAAACAAGAATCATTCTAATATAACATTTTCCATTTGGTATGGCACTGCGGGTTAATGCACTGGACTGCAAGGTCAGTTTCTATTACAAGGTTGGTGGTTCAAGATCACCAGCTGCTCCTTGGAAACACTATTTAGGGTCGCTATGAGTCAGAACTGACAGTAAGGCACTTAACAACAATTTGGTCCAAAGAAGAAAATGAATCAGTATTTCAAAAATATTGAAAGAAAAGAACTTAAAACCAGAGTTTTATATCCAGCTCAAATGTCATTCACATATGAGACCATTATAAACTATTCTCAGGGGTAAAATGCTTAAGTAGGCTTACTGCACAAAGATGAACATTAAAAACCATTTTAGATGAAGTATCTAAACAGGGGGAGTGATTTAAAGGAGCTGTTTCAAGGTAAACGTAATAAAATAATTTGTTAGAGTAGATGTATTTTTAAAAAGAAGCCATCAATCAAAGATAAAAAAAAGTGACTATAAAACAGAATATATGGTCAAGTGCCGTCGAGTTGATTCTGGCCCCTAGAGACCCTTTACAGGGTTTCCAAGGAGCGGCTCATGAGCTTGAACCACTGACGTTGCAGTTCAAATGACTTTACAGTCTGACGCATTAGCCCACAGTCTCACACCAGGACTCCACTGAAAACTCAGTATACAGTCTAGAAAATATCAGCATGATGAATGGGGACAACAGGGAGACAAAAGGATGTAAAATTATTAAGAAAGCATTAATGAAAAACATAGGGGAAAATGGGTAACTCTGAAATAATAAATTAAGATGATACAAGCAGGAGAAATTTAGCAATAATTACAATATGAATCTATCAAATTCCCCAGTTAAAAACTTAACAGATGGAGTTAAAAGACAATATTCAAGACATATGTAGCTTACAAAGGAGCTCAGGTAGCGGTAGTATAGTGGTTACAA